ATGACAACTCACACCACTGTCTAATGCTGTGGAACTGCTTAGACCTCTGAAACCTGTTTTATGATGTCTCCTTTGTTTCATATAAAGAATTGTCTTCAGCAAATTTCTGAATTGAAACAGCTTCTATGGTTTCTGAGAGATATTGGTGTTTTTTTTTTCTACATGAGGTTTGCTAAAATTCTGGGGTCTAAGGGGTCCATGTCTTTTATCATTTTTAGAAAATTCTTTGTCTTTATTTCTTTAAATACTGCTTCTATACCATTTGCTCCCCTCTCCTTCAGGAACTAAAATCACACATGTTAGACTTTTTTGGCTGTGTGCCATTAGCCTGTTGTATTCTCTTGTTTTTCTCTCTCCTTGAGTTTGTTTACCTGTCTTCCAGCTTACTAATCCTGACTTCTACTGTACTGAGACTGTTGTGAAATATCCACAATGGGTTCTAATTTCCTGTTATTGTAATTTTTAGTTTTAGATTATCCATCTGATATTTTAAATTCCAATTCTATATTTTCATACAGTTATTTATTTATTTATTATGTGGTGCTGAAGATCAAACCCAGTGCCTCACATGTGCTAGGTAAGCACACTACCACTGAGCTACAACCCCAGCCCTTGAGTTCTATATTGAGGCAAATTATCCATGTTTTTACCTTTGTCCATCTTTTCCATTGTTTTCTTATACTTAGTAAGCTTAGTTGTTTAAAGTTCCTGTGAACCCTAGTATCTGGTTCTGACTCTATTAGCACTTTTTTCTTAGTGTTTAGTCATTTGGATTTGAATTTTAGCCTGGTCCATTATTTTATATTGGATTTGGACATTGTGTTTGAAAAATTTGTTAGGCTCTGGATAATGTTGTCTACCTCTAAATAAAGTTAATCTTTCTTCTTCTATTTTTTTTCTTCAATGCTGAGGATCAAACCCAGGGCCTTGCTCATGTTAGGCAAGCACTGCACCTCTGACCTACATTCCCATCCCTAGTTTTCTTCTGGAATGTAGAGGAGTACTGGAAGGTTATTTTGACCTTGTAAAACCTTGGTTTTAAGCTTTGTTTTTAAGCTTTCTTATATTTAAATATTATATTGCCTTAATTCCAAAGTTCTGATCCTTTTGGGCCCTGGATGTCTCTATACCTTGTATAGGCTTGAAGTCCATCTTCTGTTGGGTGCTGAAATCGTTACTTGGTTCCTTAGACTCTAAACTATGTTTTCTGGTGGATTTTGGATTTTGTTTTGTGCATACTAAGTTTAGGAACTGATTTTGTTGTCAAGTAAGCCACTGTATTGATCAGAGTTTCTATCTACATTAATGAACTCCTTTTCTGCAGTTTCCCCTTTTGGTGTTTGCCCTCAATCCTAGCCATTTTGGCAGCCTTAAACTTTGACCTTTTTACTCCTCAGCTTAGAAATATTGCTGCCTTTTACTTAGCTATTATTCTTTTGCTCTTAGTTTTGAAAATTCTCTCAGGATAGAAATCCTAGGGAACATTGTGCTCATGTAGTATCATTTAAGGGATCATACATTTAAATCCTGTGTGCTTTGGCAACTCTTCAATGCCTTCCAAGAGTTGTTCATATAAACTTTATATACAAACCCTATGTTAGAGGTTTCTAGTGCAGCAACTGCTAGAACTGCATGGAGGTCTAAGCTGGTGCATTCCCCCTGCAAGGAAATACTTTCTCGGTGCTTTCTCATTTGTACCTGGACTCCATTTTAGGTCTTGTAGCGGAATCACCTAAGAAGAGAAATTCCACATGAGAAAAAGAGTTTAAATCTGGAACACTTATTTGCAGCTGGAAATGGGAAATGGACTATCAGACTAGACTTCTATTCTTCATTTTAGTCCTTTCTCATTGTTGTTCTGGTTTTGGACTGTGTTGGAAAGACAACTGTTTTATACAGGCTGCAATTCAATGAATTTGTAAATGTTGTACCTACCAAAGGATTTAACACTGAGAAAATTGAGGTAATCTTGGAAAATTCTAAAACAGTCACTTTCCACTCTGGGGATGTTGGTGGTCAGGAGAAATGAAGAACACCATGAAAGTCATATGCCAGATGCACAGAGGGCATTTGTTGCTATGGACTCCATTAATGTTGAAAGAATTGAAAAAGCTGAAAACAGAATTTCAGAAAATAACAGGGATATTAGAAAATCAAGGAATCCCTGTATTTATAGTTGCTAGCAAACAAGACCCAAGGAACTCACTGTCTCTCATAGAAATTGAAAAATTGTTAGCAAGCTCATAAATTCCTTGGCATTTGCAGCCTAATGGTGCAATCATAGGAGAGGGACTGAGAGCAAGACTTGAGAAACTATACAACATGATAATTAAAAGAAAAAAAATGTTGGGGCAACAGAAAAAGAAAAGATGAATAGCAATACCTATAACATTTGTGTAGAGTAGGTTTTCTCTGGTTTGATTTTGGTAAATGAAGAGTGTCTATAGCTTGGTTTGCTTGGATGCTATTATGTTTTGTTGAACTATCAGATGCCCAACTCATTTGCCTTGTGGAAGATGAGTAAATGCAGTTCTTCTTAGAGTGGTCTCTTCTCCATACCCCACAAATATATTGGTATTACCATTTTGGGACACCAAGCAAGGATAGTAAATTGACCAGAAAATAGTTGTGGAAGTTTGACCTGAAGTTAGTAAAATAAAATGTTGACGAGTGTCTGTTTGTGTTTATATCTTTTGGGGGAAGCCTTTGCAAAGAAATTGCATACAAGGCTTTGTATGTTCGGATAAAATGCTAATGAATGCATACTTAAGGTATACATACACATTATATGTGTGTACACATATACACAGTTACATTGATCACACTGGGACAGGGAGGAAGTATTTCCTTTTTTAAATTTTGGCCACGTGATTTTTTTTTTTAAAGGGAGACAGAGAGAAGAGAGAGAGGTGGGGGGGAGAATTTTTTAATATTTATTTTTCAGTTTTTGGTGGACACAACATCTTTATTTTATTTTTATGTGGTGCTGAGGATCGAACCCAGCGCCCTGCGCATGCTAGGCGAGTGCGATACTGCTTGAGCCACATCCCCAGCCTAAGTGATTTTTTTTGATCACATGATAATTAGTTTTTTTTGTAGTTGTAGATGGACAGAATGCCTTTTTTTTTTTTTTTTTTTTTTTTTTGTATATGGTGCTAAGGATCAAACCCAGTGCCTTGTATATGCTAGGCAAGTGCTATGCCTCTGAGCTATAGTCACAACCCTGGCCAAGTGATTTTTGACATTTTCTGGAATCAAATACTGTAATGCTATCTCTTAATTCTAGATAGTTAATTCAGTCTAACTTTAATAAGGGATTTGAGGTAAAAAATAAACCTTATATAAAGTTTATATATTGTACATATAGTTATTTATTATTAATTATTTTTCATATTTTATTTCACTCCCTTTGTCCATAGTAGGAAGATTAACTTGATACCTGCTATTCCATCTTGACTAGAGTTGGAAATCTCTTATTTCATAGCTTTTGGGTTTGCTTTTTGTAGTTTAAGATGGCATATTATTTTCAAATTACAGAGAAACAATCCTTTTAATTTGGATATTAAATAAAATCTATCACTTGTCTGTGGGCAAGGCCAAAGTTTGAGTCTCTGAAATCTAAGGCTGTGATCAAAATTTAGGTATTTTATACATCTAGAGTCATGTAATAGGATTACTCTCAGCTTATGTGCAGATAAACCACATAAATCCAAGAATTTGGCTCTCCCACTCAGACCACTGGGCATAAATGCACAGGTACAGACAATACCATTTATACAGGTTAAGTGGAATTGGAGTTGTGCAATATGGTGTCCTTAATGCCAGTTTCTTTTTGGCCTTTGAACTGGATTCCTTTGGAAAACACCAACAACCACCACCAAAACTACTTGGGGCTGGGATGTAGTTCAGTGGTAGAGCACTTGCCTGTATGCATGAGGCCCTAACTTCAATCTCTAGCACCACAAAAAAAAAAAAAAAAAAAAATTAAAAAAATAATAAAGCTACAAAACTGTGTGGGACAACTGATCCAGCACTGCCTTGCTATGCCAAGTGTGAAATTCACCAGGACTTGTGGAAGAACAGCTTCAGTTAAGCAAAAAGAGTAGAAGCATTATTGCAGTGCATTAGGAAGTAAAGAATATGAAGTCAGGACATCARATGAGTGTATTGTATCTAAGAAAATTGGATGTAAAAGGAAGTGAGAGGCTAGATACTTTATTTTAGGGATGAGGAAGCAACATATGTTTATGGACTGGAGATGGACCTAATGAAGAAGGAAAGGTAGAAGATATAAGGACAAGAAGAGATAATTAAGAATTTCCTTGTCAAGCAATAAGATGAATAGCCCAGATAAGATAGATTGGAAAAACGATAAGGAGAAAGATACAGATTAAGTTAAGAAGTTTGAAAGAATATTGAGGTATTTGATAATTCATTCTCTGAAGTCAACTGGAATCATTATGGGAAGGACTAAAGATAAAGAAGTTGAATTAGAGACAGGATGAACCAGAGATAAATCTCTGACAACATACAGGCTTGGGGCTGGGGCAGCTGGATGGATGATAGTGCTGGGGTTAAAAAATAGAGGACCAAGCAGCAGATTTGGGAGGAAAGATGAGTTAGAATGAGTTCCACTTTGTTCACATTGAGTTCATCAACAATAATGGTAATTGTCTTTGAATCTTAAGATCATGGTATACAACTTCAAAGGTAAACCTTGTTCCCTTATAGGCCTGGTGCCTGTGTAGACCATTTTAGTGGAAAATAGTTTCAGCTTTACTGGAGACTTAAGGAGTCACTGTTCTTCAGAGACATATGTGGAATGAAAGAAATGGGCTTTTACAATGAACATTTAGTGGAGGATTTTTTGACCTATGATTTTTTTTTAAAGATGAAAACACTTGAATTGGTGGGCAACAAAATACAGATATATATTTTACTAYGAATTTTTAATGAAAAATGGCAATCTGTTCAGGAGCACATTTTTGCAGTATCTAAAAGGAAAGTTCAAAGGAAAAGCAGATTTTAGGAGAGAGGGCAAGGAGGAAAGAGGAAGCAAAGAGGATAGCCAACAGACTGGAGCAGTCATTCTAAGGAGCTAATAACAGGGAAAATGAATACAAGAGGGTAACTGAGTTAGCGTGAGGACAAAAAGGGGAAATATTGAAAAAAGGATTGAGAACAGGAGAAACGTATTCGAGGTTAGAAACTGAGAAGGTGACATTGGAGTGCACARAAAGGCAGGAGTGGGGATCTAGAAATGGAAAAAAAAAAATACTACAGGTTGAAGTAGGGAATAAAGAAAGAAAGGGGAGACGATAGGGAATGAAGGGAAAAGGAGGTGTTTGTAGAAGAAGGACCAAGCCATCTATCTGGGCGGAGCAGTAGGCTGAGCAGCCTCAGAGGAGGCTGGGTCTGACCACATTTCCTCCAGCACATTGGCAGCTGAAGTGAAAGCTCATGCATGCTCAGAGGATGCACCTGGGCAGTCCGGGAAGGCTAGGAAAACCCAGCAAGGACTGATAACTAGCACTGGTGTGGCCAGGGCCGGGAAATCCATGAAGAGGACAGATAACGGGTCCTGCTGTCGCCAATGCGACTGTGGCTGCTGCCGCCGCGCGTCCCGCCGGACTCACCACACGCCTCACTGGTTTGGGGACGCGGTGCGAGTCCCACAGTCCCTGCGGCAGCACCCCAGCCRGGAAAGACGACGCCCGGAGCCGGTCGGGAGCTGGGCAGTGGCTGCAGAGGAGGAAGAAGCAGCCTCTGTGGGCGCGCCTTGGATGAGGTGAGGGCGTGGGCAGCTGGAGCCGGGGAAGCAGAGGACCGCGCCCTGGCGTGCGGTGAGCTGGGCTGGAGAAGAGCGGGCCGGAGGTCCCAAGTCCTGGGAGAGGTTGGCGCCCAGTGACAGTCTTTTCAGTGAGGTTGGAGGGCACCGGTGGTAATAGGGTCCGCGGTGATAGGAGGACAGTGGTGAGTTGCCTAGAAAAAAAAAAGTGGCGCTGGTTTGTACCCGAGAAAGCTCGTGGAAACCCTGCTCTTACCCAAAGGTCTTCCCTTAATTTGATCTGCTGCTTTGATGGTGGTGAGGTTGAAGGCTGTGCTTGTTGGACTGAGGCAAAGGAGAGATGAACACAGGGCTCAAAGCCGTGCTAGGATGGAAACGTTAGGGATAATCACAGACGATAAAGGATCAGGCAATGTGCTCGAATTGCCTTTTCTTTCCTTACGCCTCTTCTTTTTTGGATATTTATCTTAGATGTAGACAACAGGGTGGTATTGGTGATGGTTCTTTCTTCCAGGCCAGCTACCTTTTCCCCTGCAGAGCTGGAGCCCTGCCTGTTGGCCGATGTACAGGACAAGCTTCACCTAAACTCAGTCCTTTCCTCTCTTCTGGCCTGGAAGACTGACAGATTAAGCCCAATTTTCTTCATGTAGCAGCAGCAAGATGAAAAATCTGTCATGCGTAAGATTTCCTGGAGAAGAGACAGATTGTGAAACAAACACATTCTTGTCATAGAATTGTTTATCTTTTTCTTTCATGGGAAGCCTGTACTGTAAATCAAGCCACAAAACAGTAATGTTTTCAGTCTGTAAACTGCCATTAACTAAATGAGATCTTTAAAAAATTACTTCATTTCTTTAGGCCTCAATTTCCTATGCATAAAATTGAGATTTGGATTAAAAAGAATATTAACTATAAAACTAAATATTAATTGGATTAGTATTTTATGGTCAGGATTCTGCTGTAGTTGTGAACTAGAGTCCTTAGTTTATTTAAAAAACAAAACAAAACTTGATTGTTTTATTCATCACACTACCCACTGTCTATACAAGAAAATGGAGTCAAAGACATTCAGTTAACAGTGCTTAAAGGAATCACATTTCTATTAAGGAATTCATAATTAATTACAGCTCTTAAGAAGTAAGAAAGCAAGAAATATTCATTATTTGATTTTTAAAAAAATTACATGAAAATTTAACTTCAAGGCTTCTTGACCATTTTACATATTCTAAGTTAATTTCTTATCTGGAAAGAAATATTAATACTGAAAAATTATAAAATAGATCATCTTCTTATTATAAAGGTATAATTTTTCTCATTATCCTTGGAATCAAAACTTTGTGTGTTTAAATTTTGATTCTCTAAATTGTGGTTTTGTGGTGCTGAGAATCAAACCTGGGGCCACATATGCTAGGCAAGCACTCTACCATGGAGCTACATTCCCAGCCCTGTGGTTTAATTATGAAAATTGCAAGCAAATATTCATTGTTTCTTAAATAGTTACTCATCTGACAAACTACCTCTACATTCATCTTAGTTGATGTAATGATAAATCTTGAAGTGTTTAATTTGAGAATTCCAGAAAAATTTTAAATAGTTTTAGAAACTACACAGAAGTGTTGCTACTCTGGCCTTCATTTAAAAATCAATTCTCCAGGAACAAGCATACTTTAAAAAACATAGTTATATTAGCTATAGCATTAGAAGTTTAATGAAAATTAGAAGCTTGTGCATAGGAAATCATGTTTTTGGTGTAATTTTCTAATTCTCAAATCACCTAAAAATATAAGAAAGCAGCTTTGCATATTATCTAGATTCAATTTATTTGTGTTAATTATTGAGCAATGAAGGTGGTAGCTGACACAATACTTGATACAAAACTACCCTCAGGTAACTCAGAATCTACATTTCTAAACGACACTGATGTATCCATAGTATGGAGTAAGTTCTGTAATAGAAAAATGAACTAAGGAAATAAAAATAAATTTTAAAAGTATCTCTCCTGGGAAAGCTGGCCAATTGTGTCTCAAGAGGCCATWAAAAGTATCATTCTTTTGGAAAACAGTCAAAATTGGTGTTAAAACTTCAGTCTGTTTCTTAAACTTATAAACTCATAGAATTACTATATAAACTCAGAATTATTAATTTATAATAAGTTTTTTTTAATGTTAGGAGACTAGTTTTTTTTTTTGTTATTTCAGTTAAGTCTCTCATCATATATGCCACCTTAGGAAGCCAAAGTATAACCAAAAAGTTGTGAGATTTGCATTTACTGCAAGATAAATTAATCAGTGGATTCTAATTTTTAGAAAATTTGATAGCTTCAAATAGTATTAAAGAACTTCCCTGGGAAGTGAGTGTCCATTGATTCTCAACCTTTCTTCTTATGTGCCCATTTTTTTAAAATATCTCTGACATGTAAGTATTTAAGTGAGTTTATTGTCTATTTGGTTTGGGAATTTTTATGTCTATTTCAAGTGTCTGAACATTTCTCTGAATCAGTTGGTCTTAATTGTAAAATTTAAATTCCAAATGGCAAGTGTCTTAGCCTGTGTTGTGCTGCTATATATTGCATAACATCTGTTACTGGATAATTGATAAAGAACAGAGATGTATTTCCTGTGGTTCTAAAGGCTCAGAAATCCAAGGTCAAGGGGCTGGCATCTGGTGAAGGCCTTCTTACTGCAACATTATACAGCAGAAGATGGATGGGCAAGAGAGCACTTGAGAGAGAAAACAAGCAAGAAGGGCCAAACTTGCTTTTATAACAAACCCACTCTCGTGTTAACTAATTTACTCTCGACATTAATTCATTCATAACAGGAGAGCCCTCTTGGCCTATTCACCTCTTATTAAGCCCCACCTTCAACACTCTTGCTCTGGGGATTAAATTTCCAATACATGCACTTTGAGAGATCATTCAAACCATAGCACCAACTTCATTATCTTTAGGTAAAGTTCGTGACAGGGTAGGGCAGTGGGGTTGGAGGGCCGTATTACAGAACTTGCATGCTGGCGGTATGGACCAGGCAAAGTTAATTGCTCCTACATAGAGTGCAAAGAGGCAGTAGTGTGTTAGATATTTATTCAGAAACTGGTTGAATTAGAATTGAAAGTAAACACTAATTCAGATGAAAGGGATAACTAATATTTATCCATAGGAACTTTGGGAGAGGGCAGGGGATTAGCAAGGATGGTGGAACGTGATGGATATCATTATCCAAAGTACATGTATGAAGACATGAATTGCTGTGAACATACTTTATATACAGAGATATGAAATATTGTTCTATACGTGTAGTAAGAATTGTAATGCGTTCCGCTGTAATTTTTAAAAAAATTAATAAAAAATTAAAATTATCATTTTAAGAGTTCAAAGGCAAATGCTGATTTTTTTTTCCACAAGAAAAAAAATGCTTCAAGAAACCTATTCTGAAAGAACAGAATTTTGAAAGTTTGAAACTAAGCATTCTACTTCTCTTAACAAGTTACTGTGATTCATATGATGTTTGTAACATCATACTTTTTAATATTTATTATTTTAGTTGGACACAATACCTTTGTTCCATTCATTTATTTTTATGTGGTGCTGAGGATTGAACCCAGGGCCCTGCGTGTGCTAGGCAAGCACTGTACCACTGAGCCACAATCCCAGCCCTGTAATATCATACTTTTTATTTAAGTTTGTTTAGAAACTTACCACAAGAAGACTTATGAAAACTGCAGTTTTTAACTATTGGAACTCAATATATAGTTAGTTTTAGTGATGTCTGCATTATTTAAGACCAGTGAAACAAATCATACACAGTCCAGTCAGTGGACTTACATTTAGTAGTTCAAACTATTTTATGTGTTATCTATAATTTACATGTACGTATCCTATTTGACTGAGATGGCAATTATTAGGATAACTGAAATTCTGAGCCAGTATTTTTTTTTTTTTAGAGAGAGAGAGAGAGAGAGAGAGAGAGAGAGAGAGAATTTTAATATATATATATATATTTTTTTAGTTTTTTAGTTTTCGGCAAACACAACATCTTTGTATGTNTTAGGATAACTGAAATTCTGAGCCAGTATTTTTTTTAGGAGAGAGAGAGAGAGAGAGAGAGAGAGAGAGAGAGAGAGAGAGAGAGAGAGAATTTTAATAGTATTTATTTTTTTTAGTTTTCGGCAAACACAACATCTTTGTATGTGGTGCTGAGGATCGAACCTGGGCCGCACGCTTGCCAGGCGAGCACGCTACCACTTGAGCCACATCCCCAGCCCAAGCCAGTATTTTTTTAAATCCAAAAGCAAACTAAAATTTACTAGATACAAAAGCTCTCAATAGTTGCCATTCTCCTTTTTTTTCCCCTTAAAAGGCTACACTCAGACTGTATTTTAAATTGTGCAACCAAACAATGCAAAACAAAACAGCTTTGATTTGTGCTATCACATTTTTACCTTTATTATTCTGTGATAAAATCTCAGTTTACTATAAATGATACCTAAATTCTAAAGAGCCTAGTTATACTAATATAACCTTAAAGAAAAGTAAAAGAATGAGAATTTTTATTTATCTTCTATTTTGTTTAAGTATTTAAAGAAGTAAAGTTCTCAAAAACAAAATATGAAGTTTCAAAATGGAAAATGAATTTTAAATACTTATGATCTCATTGTGTATTGGTGATACTGTCACTGGATGAATGAATAAATGAAAATAAACATTCTCATACCTCCAAATTTATGTATTTTTAAGTGTACAGCATTAAATGCATCCATGTTACTGTTGCCTAGAGTATTTTCATCTTATACACTGAAACTTTGTGTCTATTAAAAAATGTTTCCTCTCCCCCTTCCCTCAAGCCCCTGACAATCACTATTCCATTTTTGTCTTTGAATTTGACTATATGGGGTACTTCATATAAATGGAATCGTTCAATATCTGTCCTTTTTGTGTCTGGCCTATCTGGTTTACTTCATTTAGCATAATGTTTTTCAAGTCAATTTTCAAGTCAATCCATCTTGTAGACAGATCAGAATTATATTCTCTTTTTTAAGGCTGAATAATACTCCAGTGTATGTATATATTGTATTTTGTTTATCCATTCATTGCTGATGGACATTTGTATTGTTTCCATCTTTTGGCTACTGTAAACAATGCTGCTATGAACATGGGTATACAAATATCTGAGTCCTGTTTTTAATCCTTTTGTAT